GCTCAAGTGGTTAAGACGCTGAACTGCAGGCTGTGGAAGGTCGGTAGTTCAGCAGTTCGAGACCCGAGTTGCCGCATGACAGAGTGATATCCCGTCTCTAGTTCCAGCTCCTGCCAACCTAGCAGTTCGAAAGCAAGATAAATAGGTACCACTTCAGTGGGAAGGTAACAGCGTTCCGTGCGCCTCGGTGTTTAGTCATGCCGGCCACATGACCACAGAAACATCTTCGGACAGCGCTGGCTCTTCGGCTTTAAAACGGAGATGAACACCGCAACCCTAGAGTCGGATTCGACTGGCTTTCGAGCAAGGGAACATTTTTTTAGTGTCATTAATGTTAGCACCTTTTAATGTTGGAATGTTTTATATGGTTTTAGGATTTTAAATTGCTTGTGTTTTTTTTATTCTTTTATGTAAGCTGCCCTGAGCCAGCCTCGGCTGGGAGGGCAAGGTATAAATTTGATAAATAAATAAATAAGTGTAGTTCCCACATGACTATTCAATGGATGCAATATAAAGGAGTTAACTTGCATGTGTGATTGAGCTGAGTTGAAATACCTGCTAGAACTTATACAAGGCTTTTCAGGAGAGCCCATTTATACCTTCAGAGATGTGAATCAAGGAGCAAGAAAGAAGTGATGTTCATGATATATATGAGAACCAGCTATGTGCCTTCATTAGATCTGTAGTTACACAAACCAGAACAGGCACACCAGGATACATTAAGGCTGTTTGGTTCATGGTAATTTTCTACACAGGCTGCCTCGCAAACGGTTCCATGGCCGGCACTGTAAACAAACCCAATCTTGGACTGCTTGGAAAAACAAACTTGGTGATTCAAATAAGAAGGATCATATGTATGCTATGGGCAAGAACAGACCAACACAAATTGGGACCAAGAATTCAACATCTTGAGATATCTTGAGAATATCCAACAAGATTCATGTCCTCATACTGATAATATGCTTAGAAGTGTGGAGGCTGATGGCTAGAATCTTAGATGCCAGGGGCACTAAGTGGATGTTCTGCTGACCTCCCACAACTCCCAGTAAATCATGCAACACACATTTGCATAGTTTGTATTGAATGCCTAGTCCTGTTTGTTAGAGCAGAACTTTCAAAACCTTAGCAGAAAAACTGAGGGCCTGCAATGAAAGATATGGTACAAGCCAGTGTGACTTATCAATTGTCAGACTAGGATCTGGCAGAGCCAGGTTCAAACTCCCATACTTCCCTGAAACTTGCTGGGTGACCTCAGCCTAACCTCCTACACAGGGCTGTTGTGAGGATAAAATCAGGAAGGTGGATACTTGTGGAGAAAAGGTGGGATAAAAATGTACTAGATAAAAAGTGAGATTTTTGGAAGAACTATTGGTAGGCATTTCAGAAGGTGCATATATGCCAACATTCAGGTGTTTGTTTTTTTCTATTCATGTGGTTTGTCACAGGGGAACTCCACTATCCCCACTCAAAATATTGTTTTCCTTATACCTTTTCAAGGCAGCTGGACATGAGGCAGTTGTCCACTGGATCCCATTTCTTGTACCACTTGTCAAGTTCATACTGTTGGGTGACCATTACCTTTTGAGAGAACATCAGACCACAGTACCTGCGGTGATGGAGCTCAACATTTGGCTATGGGTTGGGGCAAGGCACTGGTCACAGGCCTCGCTCAGCTTGTTTTGCTCTAAACTTAGCAAACTCCTGCATCTCCGTGCACTAGGCAAGCTAGGTATCGAGATCAGAAGTTAGCAAAGTGCAGAAAAATGTCAGGAGAGGCTCAGCAGCCAACCCTGTCCCAGAACATGCCCTTTATCAAGCCAAGAGTTTTGACTTGCTGACTTAAAAGCCCAATATAATTCCCAAAGCTTTTTTGCTTGGAAGCTTAAATCACATATAGATTTAAAGGATCAAAGTTGAGCAACAGTAGTGAAAGTTTACATCTGAGACTTGTCATTTAAGACACAGCATAGTTAAAACAGAGTTGATAAAGTTATCCTGTCTTCAAACACAACCAATGAATGCCTGCCCAGATTTTAAATAGGTCTTGCTTTAACCCTCTGCCTTTTATTTTCATCTACTTGCTCCTAACATGGGACAATACTTACGCAGAAGTTTGGCTCACATCTAGGAAGGTGTTGCTAATTACTGAACCAGGGTTGTGCTGTAAGGCAAAGTCAACTGTTTATTTCTTGCTAATTTACTCTTACATTAATTTTATGCATTTGTAACCTGTCCAATGCTTTGTTAGCTATCTGGAGCCGAAGGAGATAAGGCCAGATATAATTGCTTAAAAACAAACTTTTTCCTGGTTTAAGATGGAACCTGGAAATTATACAGATGCTGGCCAGACAATTGCCAGACCAGAAGCTTAATAAGCCTATGGAGGGGGGAGCTTCCCATCTTTCCATTCCCCAAACTTCCATTCTTTGCCTCAGACTCCCCCTTTAGCAAAGGACTCTCCACCCACCTTTTCCCTGTGTGAACAGCAACAAAGTTATCCTAATGTGTCCCTCTGCGGCTTGCTCTGATTTGCTTGCATCTCAGAAAAAGCCACTGTATAAAAAGAGGGCTCGGCCCAAATCTGTGTCGTTGTTCTGTGAGAAACGGAGGGTTAAAGAGCCCTTTGATCCTACATATGCAGAAACACGCCCATTCTGTCTGCAAGGCAGTTAATGGAAAGATCCACAGGGCCGCTTGCTGGGCTCAGCTTTCCAGTGTCACAGAGGAAGAAAAATTCCATTTGCAAAACCAGACATCCAAAATGGCTCAACATAATTTATTTTTTTATGTTAAAATGTACAGAGTTCTTTTGAAAGTACTTGCTAGAAAGGGGGGAGGGAAAAAGTGATATTACATACAAGGAGAGGAAGGGAGGCCGGCCGGCCCAGGAGCGCATGACATGGAGAATCACAAAGGGATTTTCTTTTAAATCATCCAGGCACCCCTTCCCCTTTTTAAGCTTACAAGTCACCAAGAACAAAGTACAAAGAAGTTACAAAACAGGAAAAGCAAATATAAACAGACAGGAATAGACGCGGCTTCATTTTGTACATGCGGCTTTAGAGGCATCTGGAGCTCTAGTCACACACTCTAGAGATCTCTTTAAAGAGAATTTTCATCTTTCTTAAAATAGTCTTTAATATTCTACAACAAAGATAAAAAATTTTAAAGATGGAATGAAATGAAAAAGCTCTTTTTTTTAAAAGGCATCAAAGTCACTAACAGTGAGTTTTTTTTTAAATTTCTTTTAGAAGTTTACCCAAGTTTATTTTGCTAAAAATACATTATTATTATTTTTTTCTTAAACAGAAGTGGAAAAAAAATGACAGGTACCAATATTACTGTGTTGGATATTTTTTTTTATAATATAGAAAAGAACATTGGTTCTCTACAATAGGTCTACAGTCACAAAAGTTTGTGGAAAAAAAGGGAGCTGCCCGACTGATTTTAAAAAACCATACAAAAAAACCCAAAACCAAAAAAGGTAACAGCAGACAAAAAAACCAACAAAACGAACCAAAAAAAGAATTCACGGCCCTCGTTTCAACAGCTTTGCCTTCGACACCCCGACAAACCCGCCCCACCCCGCCCCACCTGCAACCAGGAAGCAATGCCAGAGCAGACAATTTGGGAAGGGGAGGGCAGCGAAGGGTCGCCTTTTAACACAGAAAAGGTGAGCCTGGAATCATATATATATATACAGGGACTTGGGTCCTACACAGCCTTGTACACATGCTCAAGAACTAAGAGAAAATGAGGGCTGGAAGTCCTTGGAATTCTGCCTTTTCATACTCAACAGTATAAGAGGAAGTCCGTTTTAGTGCAGCTGACACTTCCACCCCCACCCGCAACTGCCTTTCAGGTTTCTTTGAAAAAAAAATCTTTACACATCTAAGTCAATCTAAGTGCATCTGTAAGCTCTACAGGAATATACAGAGAGAACTTTACAATAGAAGGATAAGCTACGTTTCCCCCCTCCTTGTAGCCGATGGCGTGCCCACTGGCCTGGCAACCCTTAGATCGTGACAGGATGGGTGGACTGCACCGGCTGGACTTGTCCTGCCCTGTCTTTCTCCCTCATGTTCATTCCTGACCTCCCCCTGCCCACCCTTATACACACAGATGAGAACGACTCCCCAATGAATGAACAAACAAGGTGCTGGAACACAGTGATGCAATTCTTCCCGGGGAAAGGAGGAGGAAAAACAAGCCCAGATGTTTCTCCCTACATGCTAGTCACAGGCCAGTGAGAACCAATGTAGACTTCATCTTCCAAGGGTGCACTACCTGAAGTAACATGGGGCCTTTAGATCTGCAGCCCTTAAGCAGAGCCACCTTTAATTCCTAATGCATGAGCTCCACTCTCTCCCCCACCCCAACAGGTGCATACTGTTATCCCTTAAGACACTGCTGCTGTCTAACAGAATCTGTCTAGGGTGTGCAAGAAACAGGCACACTTTGAAAAGGTTACTTTTAAACTGAATTTCAGTTCAGAGAGAGAGAGAGAGAAACTGGAGAAGAATAAACCGTTCAGAGTTCCTATTTCTGGGGGAGTGGCAAAAGCGGCTTTGTTAGGATTAGAAAGCTTGTTTGGGGTCTGTGTCCAATCCTAAGTCACCACGTTAGAGCCTCTTGGTTAAGATGGAAGTAGGGAACAGAAAGTAGGGGAGAGAGGGGATGTGACCTTTAGAGATGGAGCCATCTTGGGAGCTGTGCACAACGGGGAGAGAGGAAGGATATGGCATCTGGAAGTGAGAAGGTGACCATTTTACACACACTTTGCCAAAATGGTCAGCAAAGTAGTACTCTGAGTTTATGAAAAGATTTTGTGCACGTTTTTCAATCCCCTCCCTGAAAGCAAAAACGAAACAAAAAGAAACCACCAAACCCCATTTTAAAAATGGATTTGAACTGTGAAGTGTTTCAGGATTGTGAAGGAAAAACAAAGACCCAAAACAAAAGAACCCCACAAAAACTCGGAAAGAATAAAGACCAGGCCCCCTACAAAATAAAATAAAATAAACTGAAAGGGAACAAAACCCCATCTAAGATCTACAGCAATATTTAACTGGAAAAAGGTCCATTGTCTCTGGTTTGTCAGTATAAAAGGTTCCTTTATTTATAGAGAGATTTCAGTTTTAAGATTGCAAGTTTATCCTGCTCATCTCCTCATGTAGGGTCCATTGAGAGACTGCTTGGGCACCCCAGCAGCGTTCATGTAGCTGTGATGGGAGGGGCCAGTGTACATCATGTTCCCATGAGGGTTTGGCTGCATAGGCTGCTGGGGATAAGCCTGGCTCCCCATCATTCCCATTTGCATCTGCATAGGATACTGGGCTGTCTGGTTCATGTAAGCTGGGTTGCTATGGTAACTGCTATTCATCATGGGCTGGGTCATCCGGTAGCTGTTCATAGCATTCAGAGTGTTCATATTCATGGAGTTGACATTGTACGGGGCAGTCGGCATCAGGTTCACCCCCATGTTCATGCCACGCTGAACAGCTAGCGCTCGGGGACCTGCCTGCATGGCGACTGCTGGAGGGCTACGGCCATAGAGCTGCTGCTGGTGAGCAGCCGCAGAGGGCAGGGGTGCCGATTTGGAGCGGATGGAAATGTGCCCCTTGACTGGCATCTGCCCCTGAAGCCTCTGGGTGTGGGGGATGCCAATGTTGGCGGTGGACATGTTACACTGGAGGAGGGGCGAGGTGAGGTTCATGGTGGTGGATGCCAGGTTTGGCGGGGGTGTCATGGTGGCTTGTGCTTGGGGCGTCCCGGCCAACGGGTGAGAAGGAGCCAACTGAGCCAGACCTGTGTTGGACAAAGACACGCTGGTTGCATAGGAAGTCACAGCAGTAGAATGGCTGTAGGACATGGCATGAGGGTCCATAATGGTGTTGGTCAGCTGCTGCAACTTGGCTAAACTGAAGGTGGCTGATGGTTGAGAGTAGCTGCTGGCACCAAAATCCCCAGGAATCCTCTCGTAGATGCTTATGTTGCTAGTGCTGCTGGATTCTGGGATTTCCATGATCATCGGTGCTGGAGTGAAACTGTTGTTCATGCTACACTGAGACAACGGAGGCTGCTGTTGCTGCTGCTGCTGCGCTGGAGGCGGAGGCTGTTGGGCCGGGGGCTGTGGCTGCGGCGGCTGTGCTGCCGGCTGCTGGTTACTTGGAGGCCTTTCAACCACACAGCTCTGTGGGGACTTGATATTGCAGTTTGTGGTGGGCTGGACGCTGCCCTGGGGCATCATACTGCAGCTGTTGCCCATGCTGGCTATTTGCTGAGTGACAACACAACTGTTCTGGGTGAGGCTGCTGGAGGATGACAAGCCTCCATAAGAACAACTGCTCTGCGAAGAATTGTTGCCACAGATGCTGCCCCCCATGGTGGAGTCGTAGCTGCTGGGGTTCTCATAGTTCTCCGTTGTGCTCTCAATGCTGCCAAGGTCGCTAAAGCCGCTGTCCACCACCTGCTGAGAGTGGTCTGATACGGAAGGCACATCCATCATGGGGCTGGTCTCCATGTTCTGCATAGAAGGTGCGGAAAGAGAGCCTTGCTCTGGGCTTATCTGGGTGTAGCCACTCTCCAGAGTGTTCGGCACACTGGGGCTACTTGCAGAGCGCACAGACTGGCTGGGGTGAGACTGGACAGAGGAAATGGGGCTATTGTGTTCTGAAGCCTGGCAGTCTTCAACCATTGACATCTGAGGATCCTCTTCAGCTTGGGTGTAACTCTGCAGGTTCTGACAAGCTGCTAGGGTCTCCTCACAGTCCTGGTAGGCCACCTCGTGCTCATTGTTCTCTTCCTCCTGTGTCAAGGACTGCACGGCTTGGACGGTTTCGAGATCCAGTTCGCTGTGAGGAATTTGCTCCTCTTCCTTGAGTTCAGTGAGTCCCTCTTTAGTCTGCTGCTCTTCCTCTTGATCATCTTCAGAGCCAGGAACAGGGTCTGAACTCACTGATGTCTCATGGGATGCCTGCTCTTCTTCAGAATCTGCCTCTGCCTCACTCTTATTCTTGGCATCCTCTTCCCTACTGCCCTGTGTGCTTGTTTCTAAAAAAGGCTCCTGGGCATCTGCTTCTTCCTTCAGCCCCTCTTTCATGGCCTGTTCTTCCAGTTCATTCTTCTTGGCAGACTCCATGTGGCCATCGTCTTCTTCATCGTCTGCATCATGGTCTTCATTCTGGTTTGCCACTGCTGCAGCTTCCTCCTCTTCCTCTTCCTGATCACGCTCAGGTTCTTCCATCTCCTGCTGCTCTTCTTCAGACTGTCGCTGCTCTTCTAGGACTTGTGGTTTCTCTACTTCCTCCTCCATTTCAGGTTCTTTGACTTCTGCTGCTGGGCTGTTGCTGCTATCTATGGGAGAAACTGCTCTTGCTTCACTGGCAGGGGCATCTTCCTCCTCCTCTTCTCCCAAATCCCCAACTTCCACGGACTCACCTTCTTCTTTCCTTTCCTCCACCACAGGCAACAGTTCTTCCTTCTGCTCAACAGGTTCCTCCTCCTGCACTTTGGGTTTGCGCCCTGGTTTTGAAATTACTTCTATGGGATCGGCTGCCTCTTCTGGGGCAGGCGCTAGGACCTTTCCCCTCTTCAGTTTGAAGCCCGGCTTGCGGCCAGGCCTCTTCTTCCAGTGGATGGGCTTACGGCTTTTGCCCTTGGGCCAGCCCTTCTTCTTTTTCATGGGGGTGGAAGTGTCTGGCTGGAGTGGAGAATCCTTCACTTCACATTTTCTCAACACAGAGACTGGTTTCAAGGTAGGAGAACCTAAAAAGGATGAAAAAAGACAGATTCAAGTTGCTGGGCTAGTAATTACTAGGGCTGCCAACCAATTAGAAAACCCACAGTTAATAAAGCATCTTACTTTTAAAAGGTTTAAATACAATTTGCATATTACTAAACCACTGAGATAAGTGACGTTCTGATGCGCTTGAAGGTAAACTGTTTAATGAAAACAAAGTATGCACATTTTAAAAAGGGAATGAAAAAGACAACATAAGATCTAAGTAGTTTCAGGTGGGCAGCCACTAGGGGTGTACGCTCAGTATATAGCGAGCCAAATAAATACCCGAAAAATGCCTTATTGGTATTTTTTTGGTATTTATTCAGCCAAATACAGATTGGAGATTCTGATTCGGCTACTGAAATAGCTGCGCCAGAAGAAAAAACAATATTATTCGGTTTTTATTTGGGTGCAGCTTGAAGGCACTTAAAGAGAGTAAGCATTTAAAGTTTAAATCCCTTCTTTCACTTGCCAAATCACACCACAGTGATGGCGCAACTCGGCGAGTGAACTCAGCAAGCATTTAAAGAGTCTGCAGTTTCTTTAAATGCCTTTTTTTCCTCTGTAGGTTTCAATGGAAGATGGAGGCACTTTCTTTGGGGGCCCACAGAATTGGACCCCCTGGTCCAATCTTTTTAAAACTTGGTTTGGGGGATGGGGTGAGGAGAGGCACCAGCAGCTATGCTGCAATTTTGGTGCCTCTGTTTCAAAAAACATTCCCCCTAGAGCCCTGAATATCCACGGATCGATTCTCCATTATATCAAACAGGTTGCTTACCTGTAACTGATGATCTTCGAGTGGTCATCTGTGCATTCACACCCATGGGATCTAGTGCACATGCGCTGGATCGATCGGTGCTGTAGCAAGCTCTTTTAATGGATTTTCGTGCCCAGTCCCTCTGGCATGCGCAAGAACCCCACCGTGCATGCCCAGAGGGGTGGGCACAGACATCCCGTCAGTTCCTTCAAACCGCTGCAAATCAACCCCTATTAAAAATGTAGAAGCTGACAGCAGCGGGGAAGGAGGGCGGATGGTGTGAATGCACAGATGACCACTCGAAGATCATCAGTTACAGGTAAGCAACCTGTTTATCTTCGACGTGGTCTCTGTGCTTCACACCCATGGGAGATTAGCGAGCAGTGGCCTACCTGGAGGAAGGTGCTGGCAGGTCCTTTACTGCGTAGCCGAAGATAGAATGTGACATCCCATGCTGGTATTGGTGTTCATATGAACGTCTAGGGCGTAGTGCCTGATGAAGGTGTTAGGCATGGCCCACGTAGCGGCTTTGCAAATGTCCGTCAGTGGCACTCCCTGGAGGAAGGCAGTGGAAGTCGCGACAGGCCTGGTCAAATGAGCCCTGATAGGGCCAGGCAATAGCTGTTTGGCGATCAGGTAACATAGACGGATGAGACCCACAATCCACTTTGACAAGCGCTGAGCCTTGATGCGAGTGCCCAGTCGTGCTGACGCGTAAGAGACAAACAGTTGCGAGTCTCGTCTAGTTGGGTGTGTTCTACTGAGGTAGAACAGGAGAGCCCACTTCACATCTAAAGTGTGTAATAGTTTGTCTTCCGGTGATGTTGGATTTGGGAAAAAATCAGGGAGGAAGCCCTCCGCCTGCAGGTGGAAGTCTGACACTACCTTCGGCAGGAAGGAGATGTCCAGGACAAGGCGGACACTGTCCGGCAAAAACGACAGGTAAGGTGTATCGTGCCGGAAAGCCAATATTTCTCCCACTCGTCTAGCTGAGGTGACAGCAATAAAAAAGGCCGTTTTCCATGCTAGAAGTTTAAGGTCGCACGTTGCAAGCGGCTCAAAGGGCTTCCTCGTGAGCTGGCGGAGAACGAGAGGAAGGTCCCAGGGAGCGACTGGAGTTTTGACAGGAGGATAGAGATGCAATAAACCTTTTAAAAACATTTTGAAATCGGATGGGAAAACAAAGTGCATCCGTCAACTGGAACATGGTAGGCCGAAAGAGGGGTCAAATAAACTCTCAACGATGAATGGGAAAGTCCCGAGTCAGCTAGGGAGAGGAGGAATTGGAAAACTCTTTCGAGACCCACTGAGGTGGCTCGAGGGGCGTCATCACCAAGGGAAGAACAGAACCTTCGCCATTTATAATTGTAGGACCTCCGTGTAGTAGGTTTCCTGGAGTTCAAGAGAGAGTTCGCTTCACGGGTGGAGAAGTCGGTGACATTATTCTCCATGCCGTCAGTTTCAATTCTGGTATGTTGTCATGTGGGGGGGGGGGGGTCGGAGGGGGGGGGGGGGCCCTGGGCTGGGGGGAATTGATGGTATATCCCTTCTGATAACTCAAGGACTGTTGAAAACCAAGGTTGTCTCGGCCACCATGGGGTGATAAAGATGCAGTCCACGGTGTCTCTGAGTATTTTGCAAACCACTCTCAGAAGCAGAGGTAAGGGTCCGGTTTATGGCAGCACGCTAGCAGACTCACCTCCCGGACCTCCCGGGGGTGAAGCTGCGCTCCAGCCGGAGTGGGGGAGCACGCTAGCAGACTCCCCTCCCGGACCTCCCGGGGGTGAAGCTGCGCTCCAGCCGAAGGAGGGGGTGCACAGGCTCGCTTACCCCCCCAGAGACCCG